AGGGGGGTCTGGGGGGCCCAGCCCCGACAAGTTAAACAGTTACGAGGGTCAAGATCGTATTATCTGAAGATGAAACAAGTCTATCTAGAATGAAGGGGGGTCTGGGGGCACGGTAAAAACGGTACCTGGTTTTCCCAGGAAGCCTATGGTAGAGACATAGGCGATTTCCAGGGTGTTCCTGGGAAAACCAGGAACCGTTTTTACCGTGGGGCGGACAAGCCATTGCCTGCCGAAGGCAGGCTAGCGCCGCAGGCCAAGGTACCGTGAAACGGGGTAATTTCGGACACTCGGTGCAATTTCGGACAACTCTGCCCGGAAGCATTGCAATGATGCTCCCGTCTACCGGCCAACTTGGAGGCTTGTCCCGTTGCGCGCATCGCATCGGCCACACTTAAAACCATCTGATCAATCACCCGGAGGCCAAATCAGGGGCAAACTTCAGGAGAAATAGTGGTTTTTGTATTCAACCATTTTTACCTAAATTTGCTTTATGCGTAAAAACTTTGACTGGCAAGCCGAAACTGTTCATGGCTGGTTCATGAGGTGATTGTTTGTCGATTCGATCATGTTAAGAGCATACTGTGTCAAATTTTCAATCACCTGGGTCAAATGGTATGGTTTCTATGGGCTTTAAACTAAAAAAATGTTACTTTACGGGGTAATTTTGGACATACAAACGTCACGCCAGGCAGAGTGGGTATGTCCTGAACACTTTCAATTGTGAAAGGGTTTGAGGGGTGGAAGCTGAAGAGCTTTTCTGAAAGTTGAAGAGAATCCAATAACAACGATAATCCCCAATTGTTACAGCGGTTGCTTTGTAAACTTCGAATTTCATAACAATGGGGCAAAGCTACATCTTTCATACTTAGTTTTATGTGCATGTCCTACCTTAGTGTCAACGACTGTTTTGCGATTAATTTTTTTCATGTGACATGAGATTTGGACTTGGCGAATGGCTGCATAGCTCGCCGGTTTACTAAAATTTGAAATGCAAAGCTTTCCACTGAGCCCCTGTATCTTCCTAACCGTACATACGACACGACTACTTGCCTTTCATATGCATATATGTGATCGTATGTAATCTTGTAGGGAAGATTTAAGATTCACTTTCGCGTAAAAAAGTATGGCCCGAGATGCCTAAGAAAGCTAATCGGTCAAAAATTTAAAAATAGAAGCGTTCTAAATGGCTCTACTATTTCCACCCACTTTTCCTGAAATCAAACTACATATAGTGCAAAAACATGACTTCAAATTATGTATGACTACCCCTACCTTACCTTTCATCAAAACCCCTTACGAATTTCTCGTAAAATCATATTGGCACTTTAGAAAGAGACGTAATCGATTTTGGGACCAAAATCAGAATGAAAAGTCGTTTTTCCGGGGGGTGTCCGAAATTCCCCCAAAAACACGGGGTAATTTCGGACACTGCTTCGGACCCTCCACTGTAAAAAGGGGAGGTGCAGATAATTGAAATAAGTGCCAAAACGAAGCTAAAGGTAGGTAGATGATAAATTTTAACCCTCAAGTCCATGACATCACCACAACTTTCACAATTTCAAAAAAACCCATCAAAAGTGTCCGAAGTTACCCCGTTTCACGGTAGGTACGCCAGGCGCGGATTAAAGGAACAGGCAGCGAGACATCGCGAAGCCTGATACGACAAGTCATTGGCGTACACCTGCCTTGTTGGCTGAGCGATAGCGAAGCCCGTTGCTCCAGTGGGGTTAAGACACTTTTTCTGTCTGCGTGCGTGCGTGCACTACTCCTCTTATACGGCTAGTCCGATCTGGCTGAGATTTTGCAGGGCCCTTAGGCATGTCCTTGGCTCGCCACACACCTAAATTAAGCTTTCTATCTCGAACCGTTTGATTATTTTGGCCAAAAAACACTTAAAAAACGGCTGAAAAAAGACAATTTAAAAAGCACTTGGAACTATTTGTTAAGTTTTATGTCGTTTCCTACGTTTTTATGGCTGCTGATGACGAAAATAGAACCCATTCGGACCCCGAACCAAAGTTCGGTCCCACTAATGTAGATTTTTAACACTGAATGCATTTATGGAGGGGATCACGCTCATTTCTACGGTTTGCTAGGACTAGCGCCGCAGGCCAAGGTAGGTGTTAACGCCAGACGTGGATTGTCGAATCGGGCGCAGCATCGCGAAGCCTGTTACAAGACACGGTCTGGCGTACACCTAACTTGAAAATAGCACGACACGTGAGCCTATGAACGGGGTTTCCTGCGTCTTACCATGAAAGGAAGACTGGCACGAGCAATAAGGCACGCTGGGAATAGGGTACTTCGGAGAAAGCCTGGACCGGAAGTCAGCGACAGAACGGGAGAAACAAAAGAGCGTCGCGCTGCCGTGCTGAGCGGTGGTGGGGCCGGAATCGGCAGAGTGGGGTAGCATGCGCGCGCCGCCTACCCCCACTCCGCCGATTTCTACCCGCACCACCGCTCAGCACGGCAGCGGGACGCTCTTTTGTTTCTCCCGTTCTGTCGCTGACTTCCGGTCTAGGCTTTCTCGAAGTACCCTGTTGTAACAAGGGATGGATCTCTGTTAGGTTGTAAGTGGACCCCCCAAAAGAAGCAAAGAATGACTTCACTGTAGCATGCGCCAATTTTTGAGCCATGGGCCTCAGGCCTCTTAACACCTTCAATGACGAGGGTATGCTGCAACTTGTCCAAAAGCTTCTCGCCATCGCCAGGCGGGGCAGATTGGACGCCCTGAAGCTGACTCCGTGACGAACAACGACCGGCGCCGGCCCTGCTCCAGCTCCTGCTCGTGGCCCGGGAAGCCGGTTGGCGAAGTACGCCGCCGACATGGCCGACAAGGAACTGGTCGCCGCGAAGATAATCAGTGGCGACTACAGCCTCATGTTGGTAGGTGAGGGTAACCCTATGCAAAGCCCGGCGTGGAAGAAGTTCGCGCTGGTGCTGGATGCGAAGGTTAATATGTCAACAAGTGGGAGGGGCAACCTGGCCGAACAAAAAAGTGAAGTGCCTGGGCTCCGTCCTGTGGTCTCACGGACGAACTCTCAAGTTGAGGAGTTCCAGCGCAGTGTGGCTGGACTGTGTTCTGCCTAATTCATTTACCCCACTCTCGTCGAAGATCCGGCGTTTGTGACTCTCATCCAAGCAGCCATCAAGATTGGCGCGGAGTGCGGCTTGATGAAGGCCGCCGAAATCGCGCCGTGTGCCAACACCGTCTCCTCCGTGGCAAAGGCCCTCGCGGACAAGGGAAGGGCATACCTTGTCGCCACTGTAAATGTCTTACGGTGAAAGGCTGCACCAACATATTATGTTGGAGATTTTCTTCATAATACCAACGAAATTCGTCAAAATATCGAATTCTGAATGGCAGGTTACGAAGTCAGCTGCATCACCATAATATGGAGAATCTTCACTGTTAAACATTTAAGAGTGGAGAAAGTGAGAGAAGACGTGGTGGACGGTCTGGCATCTGGTTCAGTGGATAGATGGGACGGTGGTAGCCTCCGAGAACGGAAGTTTTACTGCCAGACCCTCCTCCACCATCAATGAGGACTTTGAGCTAAATGACCACGTACTTTTCACCGCACATTGTGACGCGGAAAGTGTCACGTTGGCAGTTACGCCGATTTCGACCCCCACCACCGCTCAGCACAGCCGCGCTATATGCTGTTTTGTTTCTTCCGTTCTGTCGTTGACTTCCGGTCTTGGTTTTCTCCGAAGTACCCTATTGAGTATCGTCATCAAACGGCCGTACCGATAAATTTTGACTCCAAATGAACGATTCCCGAAAGTATCGCCATAATTTGGCCACACTGTTCTTCGAAGTGTGGTACAGCCTACAGGTAATGTGTGGTAGGCGCAAAACTGTGGTTACCCAAATTTACCACACGTGGAAATGCGGTCGATACCCCTAAAAATCAGTGGTCAGCAAAGTGCCACATAAAATTCATGGTGAATACCACAGCGAATATGTGGTCAGTCCTCCATACCTCATAAAACGGTGGTCTTGACCACGCAACACATGAAGTAGGGTCAGGGCGGGGAAAAACTGGACAGGGGAAGAACTGGACACCCCAAATTTTACTTCAAATGCCGTATGTACTGGCCTGACAACTGTCGTGTAATGAACCGCTGATGCCACGGAACAACTTTTGATAGTTGTTATCCCTGTGCCTACGGTATTTGAAGTAAAATATGGGGTGTCCAGTTCTTCCCCTGTCCAGTTTTTCCCCGCCCTGACCCTAACGGCTCAATTATTGGCTGAGCGATAGCGAAGCCTGTTACTCCAGTGGGGTTGAAAAGTTTTTCATGTCTGTCTGTCTGTCTGTGTGTGTGTGTGTCTGTGTGTCGGCACTACTCCTCCCAAACGGCTCGGCCGATTCTGCTGACATTTTGCAGGGTCATTGGGCATATCCTTGGCTCGCCACACACCAAAATTCAGCTTTCTATCTCAATCAATTTGGTCATATTAGCCAAAAAACACTTTAAAAACGGCAAGAAAAAGACAACTTTTTTGGAACTTTCAAGTTTTTGTCAAGTTCAATGTCGTTTTAAATGTTTTGGAGGCTGCTGATGACGAAAATAGAACCCATTAAAACCTCCGACCGAAAGTTTAGCCCCATTAGTGTAGATTTTGATGACCAAATGCTCTTTTTGAGGAGATCACGCCCATTCCTACAGTCTTAGGCAGGTTAGCGCCGCAGGCCAAGGTAGGTGTATACGCCAGGCGTGGATTGTCGAAACTGGCGCAGCATCGCGAAGCCTGTTACGACAAGACACCGTCTGGCGTACACCTACCTTGTAGGCTTGTACTCCACTTCTTTGAAGGGGTGTAATTCTTACCACATTTGTACCTGTGGTAGAATGCGGTAACCACACTTTTTTTCTCACTCCACCACACTTTCGATTTCAGTGCATACGTTGGAGTGTTGCCAAGATTTGGCTAACTTCGTTCACACCTGTGTCCACACCCGGGGCCCGGAAAAGTATCACATTGACGACTGCATGAAGCGTTGACCTTTAGCGCTGGCTCGCGTCATTGTTATTGTCGTGTCGCTTGCGTGGAAAGTCATTGAAGCCAAATGTGAAACCCGTTTTTTCATGAAGACATCCACATAAACACAATAGCAGACGATCCCTTCCCTTCTGTTCAAGGAAACAGTAACGTCCTGCCGTCTTTCTGAGACTTCGCTCGCAAAACAAGATGCGACCATGTACGGAAACGAACCAAGTGATTGCATTGTGATATTCAGAACGCCTTTCGCTGCCATGATATCGAAGGATATTTGCGTGGATCCTGGACCGGAAGCCCACAGTCGCCAAGTTTGTGGAAGCAGGCCGCATCGCCTCGTGGTTAATAGTCGAGTTTATCGGTCAGAATGGGACGTGATAATCGTTTGCAACCGATTTGCTGTGCATTGGCTTCTCAAGACCTCAGTACCGCTTTGTTCGGGAGGTTTTAGGTTCCGGCCAACACGGCGCATTTTTACTTCCGTTCCGCGATCCACGGATACCCCTTTTAACGACCTACTCGTCGCGCTCCCTGGAAAACCAGACGTGGTCTAGACCACACTACTATATCAACCACACCTAACCACACCAAACGTTGCCTAGACCTCAGCAAACGTGGTCTAGACCACACCAACTGATGCACTCTCAGCACGTTACTGACCTCTTCCCTCATTAATTACGTAATCGTAAAAGCAACAAAATCACTTTTAAAATTATGTTCAAAACCAAATTGACTGGTCATTATTTAATATTTCCTAAAAAGTGCTTTGAAAACGAAAAAGGTGCGTATTATTGTTGCACAAATTACTTGCACAAGTACTGACAAAATAAGCCAAAAGTCAGTAACGTGCTGAGAGTGTGCAGTCATTAATGGCACCACTCTGACCACACCAGTGGTGTGGTCTACACCACGTTTCGTTTTTCAGACTATTGCCTTTCACCCCGCGACACGGCGCAGCCTGCATCCGCAAACTTGACGACTGCACTGAGAAAACCTTACGAACTATTTTGGGCCTTACAAAGAAAAGTAGTATGTATGACACAGTATTTTGAACATACATAAGCTTACAAAGAAAATCCTTCGTAATTAACGAACTTTTTCTTCGTATAACAAAGTATTTTAGTTTGTCATTTGTATGCTCAAAATACTTCGTAAGGTTTTAAGAGTGTGTTGCCTTCCGGAGCAGGATCCACGCAAATACCGTTTTGTATCATAGCGGCCAATGGCGTTCTGAGAACCATTTGCTGAGCGATAGCGAAGCCTGTTACTCCAATGGGGTTGAAAAGTTTTTCGTGTGTGTGTGTGTGCACACTACTACCCCTGAACGGCTCGGCCGATCTAGGTGAGATTTTGCAGCGTCATTAGGTATGTCTTTGGCTCGCCACACGCCAAAATAGCTTTCCATCCCTATTCATGTGATCATTACAGCCAAATAAAACTTAATAAAACGGCTAAAAAATCAACTTTTCACTGACATATTTTGTGATGTTCTACATCATTTCATTTGATTTGGAGGGTGCTGAGAAGGAAAATAGGATCCATTGCGACCTCCGACCAAAGTTCAAGTCCCAATGGGACAAACGTCTACCGGAATTTAAGGGGTACAAACGAAAATCGTCATGCCGTTTGACTAGCGAAACAACCTCGTCGCCCCGTATAGGGTACTTTCGTGGATCCTGAACCGGAAGCAAGCAGACGCCATGTTGACCGGAAACTAACCTCTCTTCCGATCTACAACTAGAGCCGAGCTGTTCATATATTGCTCGCGAAACACACGCCCCGCAAATAAGTATAAAACGGCTGTTCATGTTCAAGTGTGGCCGATACGTTAGACTATATCGATATCGCCCCTTTCCCATGCGAAAGTTGAGATCTACTTCCGCCGACATGGCGTCTGTGAGCTTCCGGTTCAGGATCGACGAAAGTACCCTATTCGAAAGAAGGTCAGCATGAAAGCTTGAACCGAATGCTGCTTAGACGTGTGATCAGGTCTCTTTGAGTGGCGATGTGGGGCGAAAGAGTCTGCCGAAGGCAGGCCAGCGCCGCAGGCCAAGGTAGGTGAAAACGCCAGGCGTGCACTGTGGCTAAAAGCTACGGAAAATTCTGTAAACAGCTTGTGGTAATTCCCCGTAGCCCCCTTGTCAATATTCTCTGTAGGCTCTTACAGTATTTTCCGTGGGACCGCACAGTCTTCTCCGTAGGACCTTACAGTGGTCTCCGTAGGACTATTCAGTCTTCCAGGTCCTACGGAGAAGACTGTACGGCCCTACGGAGAATACTGTAAGAGCCTACGGAGAATATTGATGAGGGGGCTACGGAGAATCCTGGCAAAAAAATTAACAGAATTTTCCGCACCTTTTTGTCACAGTGTGAATTGTCGTAACTGGCGCAGCATCGCGAAGCCTGTTACGTCAAACTGTATAGAGTACTCCAAGGAAGCTCTGGCCCGGAAGAAGAAGAACAAAAACGGAAGTAAGAATTTGCAGTTTCTATGAGAAATATACGCTGCGCATGAGGGTCCGCAGCGTATATTTCTCATAGAAACTGTAATTTTTTACTTCCGTTTTTGTTCTTCTTCTTCCGGACCAGAGCTTCCTTGGAGTACTCTATTGTCTGGCGTACACCTAACTTGTATTACAAACAATCACTTCGAACACGTTTCCGTGCATGGCCGCATGTTGTTTGCAAGTGAAGTCCCTGACAGACGGCAAAGACGTTACGGTTTCTGCTGAAGTGTTACTAACAGTAGTTCACATTTAGATAAGAGTCGGTGTGGGCAGCCATGGCGACGGAGTGCTGCAGCTGCGGCTCGGTGTTCAGCGTCAACCGACAACGCGAGGTGCTGAACTGCGGACACCAGCCGTGCCGGCCCTGCCTGGAGGCGAACTCGAGGGGCTCGGAAAAGCGCTGCCCTACCTGCTCCAAGGCAAGCCCACACTGTTATTGGAATGTTTTTACGGATCCCTGGACCGGAAGCATTCGCACAAGTTAATGTTCGGTCATTTTTCAGTGTGTTGCCAAATCAAAGTTCTTAATATCAACAACTCAATTCGAAGATAAAAAGTCAAAGTTTTCCCTGCACTTCAAATCCGAAGTGTGCCGGTTTTGGCGATAGAATTGTGTTGTGTTTCAAATGGTCATACATAAATTCTTGTGTTCCAAAGAGGCGATGGAGGTTCATGCCTGTTGCGTCTTTGGGAGCAAGATTTTCTGTGTGGCCCTTTGTGACCGATACACAACTGTGTAACCTAGAGTGTTACACTGTTAAAAATTGTTGTTTTAAAACAACAACACAATTACCAACCTCAACAACGCTGTTGTTTGTGAACAAGTTTGCTTGTTTTAAAACGACGAATTCGTTGCTAATTATTTTTATGACTTATGCTGTTTCAAAACAATATTTTGCTGCGTACAAACAACCCGGACAATCTAAGAAGTGGTTACTGCGGGGTAACCGGGACTCTACTAGGGCTGTGACCTAATCGGCAATAAAAATTGATGCAAATAAGGCTGTCTACCGGTTTACAAACATCTTGTGGACGAACGACGCAACTCGTTAGTAAACAACGAAAGTCATTTGAAAACAACTTTGATCGCTAAGAAAATTAGCAACTCATTTACTGCTAAATTACAACATAATTTTTTACAGTGTACTGGACCATTCAATGCTTGCGACTGATATATCTGGTTAATTGCAGCCTAGACGCCTGCACTGTAAAAACGGTTACGTTTGTGTTCCATTCTAGAAGTGCTGCCAGACCCAGAACGAAGGTGCAGTCGTTACTGTTCAGGGGCATGCGACTGTAAGGTACGTACTCACGTCAAGTCCTTCGGCGCCTAGCAGCTTCTGTTCCAGCCCCAAAAATGAATTTGCTACAACCATTGTACACACCGACAAACCCATATTCGCAAGAACACACTAACGAACTGCATGCTTGGCACCACAACTCCATTCTTTTCTATACAATTATGAACTTTTATTATCACGTTTTGACATTTCTTTGTAGACTTGATTTTTCTAAGAGACGTTCTGACTCTTCATAGGACTTGCACTGCAAGAAAAAGTGTGGATAGTAAGCAGGGATTGCAGAAATACAACGAGATTTGTACATACCAAAACGAGCCCTGGACTGCACAGCATTCCTCATGCCGGTTCCATTGTACTTTGTACAACAATTGTTGTGTTTGAAAAGTACACTCACTGAAAATTGAATGGCGAGACTGATGGCCAAAATTTGGTGAGACAAAAAAGTCCTCGCCATTTTTTGGCGAGAAACAAAAGTCTCACCATTTTTTTGGCGAGAAACTTAAGTTTCACCATCTTTTGGCGAGAAACAAATGTCTCGCCGTGTATTGTTGCCCTCGTTGTGTCGTCTGCTACAGTAGCGTTTGTTTTGCGGTAGTGCCAACCTGCACTGCCTTCCAGAAGTAATTTTACAAGTAAAGAAAAAAAATGTATAGGTTGGCACTACCGCAAAACAAACGCTAGACTTTTTTTCTTTCCCCTAGGATGGAATGAATTCCGTCCTTTGACTTTTCAGTGCTAAATTCCTGGTAAAAAAATTTGCCAGAAATTTGTGTACTTTTGTTAAGGTTATTTCCTGCAATGTGTTATGACGTTTTCTAAGTTTTACGAAATTTTATATGGCGTTCATGAATTTACAATGCAGATTTATGGTGAAAACTTCTAACATTTTTAACAGTGTTGTAAGTGTTTACTACCCCACTCCGGGTTCTCAAAGGAGTAGGGGGGAGGGGGAGAGATGCCGTGATAAGAGGATATGGTACACCTCCCCAGAAGCGGCATTTCCAGGGACGCGCAGGGACCTCTTTCTAACGCCGTCCTGGCCACACCGTTCGAGGTATCGATATGAAACTTGGCACACGGGCTCAGAAGGGATCAATCTCAATGACGGTGCGTTCAAAAAATTTTTTGAACGCCTAAGTTAGGCTCCAGGGCAGTCCAGTTCTGGTCCAACTTTCGTTCACAACACATCCTAAGGAAATGGGAATATCGAAAAAAGGGCGATGGTACGTTCTAGATTGACATTTGCTCTTTCCAGTGATGATATCCCCGTTCCTGTGCGACTAAAATTAGAGGCCAAAACCCGGTAGACCGCAGACCTCTGCACGGTGATTTTTGTCATCTCGCAGAGTTTTGAACAGGCACTGTCGTAGACGGGCTATGCTGACCCCCGCCTGCCCCCGCCCCTGCCCCTCCTGGCTGCCTGCATGCAGCCCTCTGCTTTGTCTCTGCGCCGGGCCCCCTGCCGGCCCCCCGCCCCCGCCTCATTCACGCGCCGGAGCCGATGAGTCGAAGGGTCGGCAGCGTGACAGGCCGATTTATGGGCCCCAGACCCCGGCAGTTAAATTTTTGAACGGATTGTTTTAGAGTTTTAGGATTTGGCGAATGGGGTGTAGCGCACGATTGTGGTTTCAGGCAACTCAAAAATAAAGTTCTACGACCATTTTGACCTTAGCTCTCCAGTACTAGCCCCGCCACCGGACTTGATTACGTTCGGGACAGCCTAGGTCAAAATAGTCGCAAGAACTTGAATCTTTAGTCGCCTGACACCGCAATGGCCCGTTGAATCCATCTGAGCAAGTTTCACAACTCCAAAATGAACCGCTGAAAAATTTAACTATTTAGGCACGGGGCCATAAATTGACCTGTCACGGTGCCGATCCTTGGGCGAGGGTGGCGGGCCAGGCTGTGCCCAGGCAGTCCCTATTCAGTGAAACAAAGTCGGCGACAACATGTGCGGAGTCTGGGGCCGGTACAGCTCGTCGACAGTTACATTGCACTTCCTCTCTTTGACCGGCTCCGGAATCGCCGAAAGTCGCCGTGCAGAGGTCTGCGGTCTACCGGGTTTTGACCTCTAATTTTGAACGCACAGGAAAGGGGATAACATCTCCGGAAAGAGTAAATGTCAATCTAGAACGTACCATCGCCCTTTTTTCGATATTCCCATTTTCTCAGGATGTGTTGTGAACGAAAGTTGAACCAGAACTGAACTGCCCGGGGGCCTAACTTAGGCGTTCAAAAAAATTTTTGAACGCACCGTCATTGAGATTGATCCCTTCTGAGCCCGTGTGCCAAGTTCCATATCGATACCTCGAACGGTGTGGCCAGGACGGCGTTAGAAAGAGGTCCCTGCGCGTCCCTGGAAATGCCGCTTCTGGGGAGGTGTACCATATCCTCATAACGCCTTGTGCTTCCTGTCGACAGGCTTGTGCGCTTGGCGGCCGCCGACGTCGCAGCCACGCACGACGCTGTCTCAGAGGAGCTGCAGCACGCGTCGAATAGCCTAGCAGCTTTGAGGTAGGCAGTATATGGGGGGGGGGGGGGGGGGGCCTCACCTGAAGCCAGGGTGGCCACGTGTTAGGGAACTCGGGGAAATAAGAGTCTGTCAGGGAAAATGGGTGGTTGTCAGGGAAAAACACAATTGTCGGACACTGATTTTTAAGTGTGGGCAGAAAACGTATATAAAGGCTTACTACAGTTATCTATCCAAGTACAATTATAATACAGTTTCGACTGAAGTTTGTACCCTATGCAAAACCGTAAAGCTATACCGGGGTCGGCAGCACATGAGAAACTTACACTATGACCTGCGCTGCGGTCCCGTGTGGTGTTAAAGTTCCAATTGCAAAATTTTAAAAATTTGAATTTTTCTTCTTTTTTATTGGGAAGCTTTTTCAAGCCTGTCCCTTCTTCTCCTACAGTGACGATTTATTTTCGATGTTGAAGTAACTTAAGCGGTACTGAATGGGAGCTCTAATGCAACTTGCCGTAAATTTTTCATGACTGCCATAAAGGGTGTTCTTAGCGAAAACGCTTCCTAGCGCACTTTACGAGCTGCTCCAGAAAATTGTGTCCGAGTCAGTCATGTTGCAGTTCGAGGGGTCCTATTCAAAAGATCTTATCTGGGCGTTCCCCCCAAGACAATCTTATCTTAAACGCCGCCAAATTTCACTCATTTTGATCAATGAGAATAAATACGGCGGTAAGCGAAACATTTCTACATGCACTTTTGGTTTCTTTGATCTTAGATTTAATTGAACAAACTCACAAATTATATTGAAATGTAGCTGTACCAAATGATCAAACTATGCGAAATTCACCTGCGTTTAAGATAAGATTGTCTTGGGGGGAACGTCCAGATAAGATCTTTTGAATAGGACCCCTCGAGTTGTTGATTTGGTGCCGTGCCGCAGATCATGGGCCGTCGCCGCCGCCGAGCGCCAGGATCTCGCCGCCCTCTGCGCGCACGCTGCGTGCGCGGAGCGCGTGCGGGGCGTGCTGCAAGAGGCACTTGCGCTTGTCCACGAGGAGGCCCGTCGATGCTTGGGGCAGGACCATGGCGACGCCACGAGCCAGCGGCCCTGCACGGACCAGGTAGGCAGCGACATGAATTTCCTCGCGACTTTCGGGATACTGCACTGTGAAAATTTGAGTCGTCACTTGATGACAATTTCAAGGCTAATTTTCCTGACAACGATGTCATCAAAACAATTGATGACATTCTTGTCACGCCCATTGATGAAAATATCACCAATTTGTGATGAGAGTGTCATCATTGGAAAGTGATGAAAATGTCATCCACGTTTTTGTCATAAAGTGACAACAAATTTTCACAGTGTGTGCACTCACCGTGCACATAACGTGCTCTGAAGCATTCCTGGCGGGTACACTCCACTCCAGGCAGTGTATGCGAGCCGCTGCAACTGGCCGCGGTGCTGCGCCGCGTTGACGTTTCGCTTGAGCAGAAATTGTCTGCCATTTTAGCTCAAAGAAAGCATGTTGAGTGCTTGATCGACAGAAATCAAAATTAACAAGGGAACTGCCTGCCTACAAACGAGACTGACTTGCCACCAAAGGTCGGAGGGGCGTGGCACGGCGTGGCAGAATCATGTACGAGAACAGAGTTTTTCTGAATGGTTAGCTAGCTCACAACAGGCCGGCACCGCCTGGGGCGGTGGTGGGGGGGGGGGCTCGCTACGGCACGGAGCGCTCAAAAGTGCTGTGTTGCTAACTCCCTGGCTTCATGACCAAATAAAAAGTTTCAAATTAACATATTTACCAAAAACTCTGAAAATCAAGTGTGTGGAATGAATAGATAAACCGGCGGTTGCTTTTCACAATATCAAATTGGAGTCAAGTTACGATTCTGTCTGCAGGAAAGGCCTCAGCATGCATCTGATCAGTGTGTCGGTGCGGAACTCAAGCTGGAGATGGAGTGCGAAGAAGTTGACGAAATGACAAAGCATCAAGACGCAGGCGGCTTGAAGGTAGGGTTCTTCAGGCTGTGCCAGTGCAATGCGATGCAGGACCGGCCTAGGGATTTCAGCTTGTCTTGCAGCGCAAGCGCAGGCTGGTTCTCTGCGACCCACAACCCCGCACGTGGTTCGTGGCTCACGCCACTTTACAAACGTGAAATAGCTGTGAAATTGTCCATCTCAGGTCCAAAACTCTCTATTGTGCGGAGTGAATTAGCGCAGTTGATATGTGGTCAGAGAACCGTTTCAATGGTTGGGTTTACTGTCGACATGTGCGCAGTGCTCTCGGCATACGTTTGTCAACCCATGTCCTTACAATGAGTTGTTTGTTCTACGCTAAAGAGAAGCTACAAAAAATAAATAAAAGGTAGTAAAAAAATTAAATCGACGATGCGGTGTTATAAAAGAATGTACGGAAGGCAAACTTCAACTTTATTTTAGAATGATTTGAGCTTCTGGCATGTGCCCATTCGAAACGTCAGTGCACGGTAAGAACGGTTCCTGGTTTTCTCAGGAACCCCCTGGAAATCGCCTATGTCTTCGCCATAGGGCTCCTGGGAAAAGCAGGTACCTTTGTTACCGTGTGCCTTATCAGAAACTGTTTCAGCTTTTTCGGCATATCTTAAGAGCGCCTAAGTAATTGAGATATTTGGATATAGTTAGCCTTCTCATAACTATGTCTTGATAATAAAAAGTAATCGAAACTTTGCGTGCCGATTACGGCGGAACTAATTGGTTTCGGTTCAAACCGTCTTCGCAGCTTACACCTATCGTTGAGTCCATTTGCGGTCTGCCACTGAATAACGTCCGGTCGTCGTGCAAACTGCTGCTCGAAATATCCTAGGTCTTTCCCAGCAGCTTTACTAATGAATTTTGATTCTTCCTCATTAGCTATCCGAAACGCTCAGCATGGAGGGGCAGCCAACAGTGGGTGCTGACAACGTCTCGAACCCGGAGACAGCAATCCAGGAACAACCCTCCTCGCCTGAAGTGAAGGTAGAGGTAAGTGTTCGTTGTGGGTTTTCGGCAAGCAGATACTGTGGCGATCAATATGTCGCAGCTTGGGTCACAAATTTCCTCGTTCATTTCCCACGGTCCTTCATTATCAGATGGTAAACATGTGCTTATTGCTGTAAGCCGACTTCCGCCATTTTACACACCTTGCCCAATTATCAATTCTGCTGGATCTACTTTCGCAAGGATACGTTTGTACACATAGCCGCACTGCAAACTCAGTAGTGTGCTCAGTACAACATAAATATTCGGCGAGTACTCACAAGTATACTCCTGCGACACTTCAAGAAAAAGTGTGAATGGTACAACAAAAGAACAACAAAAACTGTTCAATGAAAGTACAACAGGGATTGTAGAAAGTGCAACGAGGATTGTACAAATCACAACGAGGCCTGGACTGCCCAGCACTCGCCATGCCGCCGGTTCTATCGTGCTTTGTACAACAATTGTTGTACTTTGAAAGTACAATAAATTCCCAATAAAAAAATTTGCCAACAATATGTGTACTTTTGATGTAGTTATTTTCTTGCAGTGCAGAGTGAGAGTGTGGTAAGCTGAGCATACTCCTGCGAGAGTGTACTCAAAGTGTGCTCAGATGAGCACTCTCCACCAAGAGAAGTGCTCTTACGAGTACACTCCAATGAGACTGTGCTCAGATCAGCCTCACCCTCACACCGTCGTTCCAATAGAAATTCCGTCCAAGTGCTCGTCTGTGGGTGTGTGCTGAAGAGAGTGTACCGAGTGCGGTGTTGAGTTCGCAGGGCGGGGAATACTTCGCACTGCGAGCGAAGTGCGTTTGTTTCCAACCTTAAACAGTGTGGGAAGCTCTTGTTCACCGTCCGTTTCTGTTCGTACGAAAATATTTTCCTCTGCTGCAGCCCTGCGATACTCAGGACGCTGTCGAGCAGCACTCCGGCAACGATGTCTCCGACCTTCCCGAAGTGGTTCAGGAAGCAGTGGTACAGAGATCAGCAGAAAACTCGACGCTCAAGGCGGAGGTTAGTCTCGTAGTGGCTGGACACTCATTCTAGGAGCCAGGAGCGTGACAACGTGTTGAGCTCGTGCCACACTCGTTTGAATGTGAACAAGCTAATATATGGTACGGATCGTGCGAATAGTTCGGCATCGAATCGAGTCAGGGGTGATTCGATTCGTGGACGGATCTCTTTGCTTCAAACCCGAATATTCGAAATTTCAAATCGACCGTCGTTTGTCTTCAAATCGGTTGCTCGGGAATCGAATGGTTGGAAGTCGCGCGCTCAGCGATATTTTTATATCAAAGCAAGATCAGATATTTGATTGTTCTCCTTTTTGTATTCCTGCTCTCTGCCCTTCCTCTATGACAGGAAATAAGTTTTGAAACGCACTTATTTTTTAAAGTTTCAGTTCGAATCCGATGATTTGATTCTGAATCTTAAAAAAGTTCGATTCGAAACTGTTTTTAGATTCGATTGCAAGTTTGATTCGAAATGAAAATCCTTGATTCGCACATCCCTTATCTTTGGCTGATTCACATCGAAACGAATTTGACACAACGCACTGCAAATCCAACTGTGGGACAAGTCGACCCTTGCAGACCACTTCGTCCTACGCTTGCAAGTGCCGGCCAGTAGTTGTGTCCGACGCTTTGAAGTGTCGATCAAACAGTGCCCGACATCTGCAAGTGTCGACCAAAAGTGCCAGACGGCTGAGAATCACATTGTAGTCTGCCATAGGATAAACCTGAATCAGGATCTTATGATTCAAATTTCTTATTAAACGGGGTTTTTACCAGTAATTTTTTTTTAAACTTAAGAGAAATGGCCAATAATTGATGGAGTGATGGAAATGACACTGTGTTGTCGTAGGCCTAACGTGACATCAACCTTTTGCAGAGCAGTTTGCTGGAGTCGCTGCCCGCCGAGCTACTGCACGCGGTGCTGGACTACGTGCCCACGGAGGAGCTTCCGTCTCTGCGTCTGCTGAGCCGCCGCTGGAGCGCGCTGGTGCTGGACGAGTCCCTGTGGCGGTCACGCCGCCTCACTGTCCATGCCGACCAGGACTCGGCGGCCGTCCTGCGTGTGGCTCCCGCCCTGGCCGAGCTGGCTCTGGAGATGAGCTATCCCCCCCTCCGGGGAGTCGAGGCTCTCAGGGCCCTCGCCGAAGGAGCCTGCCAGGTAGGCCAGTTAGCCATTGGCAAACTAGGGGGCAGTAGCGGATCCAGGGGGGGGGGGGGGGGGGTTAGCCAAGGGGTTGACCACTCAGCTCAGGAGTGTACACAGGATTACTGATTACCAGTGATTACCTACAAACATACTAAAAAAAAATCCATAATTTTGGCCAGCTAAGAGCTTTGGCCTAATTTCATAAGAAAAACCTGCAAAATCCGATAAAAACGGCGAAACTGGCCAGTTTTGGTGTGTGATTACCAATGATTACTGGACAAAGTGTACACACGATTACCTGAGCGGGTAACCCCTTGGGGGTAGCACGTTTTGCTACTTACTGGGGCTTTTTCGTTTAATTCAAGTTTCAAAACGATACATCTGAGTGGAACGCACAAAAACTGTCACGATTCTTCCCTATAACCTACTTGGTCAGTGGAAAAATTATCATTGACGACACTTCAAACTGTATGCGCACAGGACCATTCAAATGTTAAAAAAACGTCTTCAGAGAAAAGGGCGTTTTAAGTTTGGTGACAGATTTTGATGCAATTTCAGCCAAAAAAATCTTCTTGCGCATACTTTTTTGTCATTAAAGGTTGACCTGGATATTTTTCACTTTTTCGATTCATTTTTAAAAGATATTAGCATGCACAACTGAAAATGTCCATTACATTATGATTGGCAAGCTTTTGAAGCAAGCATTTCACTTAAATTGACCAACAATGTACAAAATAGACAAGTTTTAGTGACTTCTCAGATATTAAAGCTT